AGTAAGTTGAAAACATAATTTTATAGTCGATTAAGATCAAACGTGTATAAAGAACTTGCTCTCTTTATTATCTTGTCTTAGAAATATAGCTCAAAAACTAAGACAACCTTTCTCTCAATCGTTATATCAATACCACATCTCGGTATCGATATATATAGTAGAGATTTCCTATTTCTAATAGTTATAGATAACTCCTAATACTACTAGACTTTATGTTTGTGCTTATCTTGTCCTTTAACCAACTTGTTAAGGATATCTTGAGCTCCAAGTAAACCAAAGCTTACCCAACAGTCCCCCTCTTAAGCTTTGAATCATTCTTGGACAAGTCTTGAACTCCTATCAAGTTTCTCATCTCAGTGAATTTTATCCTTGCCAAAGCTTTCGTGAGAATGTCGGCCTTTTGCGATGTTCCTGGTATGTGCACCATGTTGACAAGCTCTCGTTCGATACATTCTCGTATGAAATGATAGCGCTTGTGGATGTGCTTGCTCTTGCCGTGAAATACAGGGTTCTTCGTGAGCTCTATAGCTGACTTGCTATCGATTTTTATGGTGACTCTCTCTGTCTTCCAACCTGTAATCTCGCTTAGAAGATCTTGTAGCCATATGGCCTGTCGTGCAGCATCCGTGGCGGCCATGAACTGAGCTTCGCAGGAGGAGAGAGCTACCGTGTCCTGTTTCTGAGAACACCAAGTAATTGGTGAAGATCCGAAGTAGAACAAGTGACCCGTAGTACTTCTTCCATCGTCTTGGTCTATGTTATGACTGCTATCACTATAGCCAATCAGCTTCTTCGTTCCTTCTCTAGTAAACTTCAAACCGAATGTAGAAGTTCCTTTGATATATCGCATTATCTGCTTCATAAGGTCGCCGTGTGACTTTCGTGGCTGATGCATATAGCGACTAGCTACTGAGACCGAGAAAGCCAAATCCGGTCGTGTGTGTAGCAGATATCGTAGACATCCTACATTTCTTCTATACCTCGTTGCGTCGATTGCTTCTTCTTCCTCAGCTTTTGAAACTTTGAGACCAAACTCCATTGGTATCTTCGTCGGATTACAAGTTTCTAAGCCTACTTCTTGCAATATCTTGGTCGCGTATGCTTCTTGTTTAAGCTCAATCCCATCATTACTTTGGTGAACTTCTATCCCAAGGTAATATGTGAGTTTACCTAAGTCGGACATCTCAAATTTTGACGACATCCCTCTCTTGAACTCACATATCGCATCGATGTTGTTTCCAGTAATGAATAGGTCGTCCACATATATTGCAACGATAAGGATCGTATCTTTTTCTTCCTTGCGGTATACTGCGTTTTCTTTAGTGCATCGACTGAACTTCATTCCCTTCAATACTTGATCAAGCTTCGTATTCCAAGCTCGCGGAGCTTGTTTCAAACCGTACAAAGCTTTCGAAAGTTTATAGACTTGATGCTCCTTGCCTTTAATTTCAAAGCCTTCGGGTTGCTCAACGTAAACGTCCTCCTTTAGTTCACCGTATAAGAACGCCGTCTTTATGTCTAGATGATGAACTTGCCATCCGTGTGAAGCTGCTAGAGCACTTAAGAGTCGTATTGTTTCTAGCCTTGCAACTGGGGCGAAAACTTCATCATAATCTATGCCTGATTCTTGTACATATCCTTTAGCCACGAGCCTTGCTTTAAACTTCTTGATAGTACCATCGCCATTCCTCTTTATTTTAAAAATCCACTTGAGTCCAATCACTTTAGCTCCAAGTGGTTTATCAACCAAGAACCAGGTCTTGTTCTTGTTGATAGAATCGATTTCCTCTCCACATGCGCCTGTCCACTTTGATGAGGCTTGTGCTTCTCTGTAAGAGCTTGGTTCATCGTTGATGGACAGTAAGAGCCTTTCGATCTCTAGCTCCGCTAATAAGACGTAGTCATCTAGGTATCGAGGTCTGGTTACTTGTCGTGTTGATTGTCGTAGTGGTTGCTGTGGAGGAGCTTCTTCATGATCATCGTCGTCGATGTGATCCCCATTATCTTGTTCATTGTGCTCGTTATTATCTTCCAGATCATGATCATTATTGTCGTTGATCACCACTGGTCCTTCTCCTTCATCAATGATTTCTCCCCACTTCATCTGAAACTTCCCAGGATCTCGTGTAATCTCGGATGGTTTCTGCCAGTTCCAACATGTCTTCTCATCGAACACGACATCTCGACTTACTACAATTCTCCGTGTAGATGGATTGAACAGTCTATAGGCCTTTGTTCCTGGTTCCGTACCGAGGTGTACTAAAGCTTGCGACCTGTCATCTAACTTCTTGAGCATTGCATTGTCTATCTTTGCGTAGGCTAAACAACCAAAGACCCTTAGGTGATTCAAACTAGGTTTCTTCAGTCGCAAACTTTCGTATGGCGTTGAGTTCTCAAGAGCTCTTGTAGGTACTCGATTAATTAGGTATGTGGAGTGTCGAACCGCCTCTCCCCACAGATAGTTTGGTACCTTCATAGCCTTGAGTGTGCTTCTCGTCATCTCCATTAACGTCATGTTTCTTCGTTCCACCACACCGTTTTGCTGAGGTGTGTATGGAGCCGTTAGATTTCTTTTGATGCCGTTTGAATTGCAGAACTCATTGAACTCTGAGGATGTAAACTCTCCTCCCCGGTCTGTTCTCAACGTCATGACTCTCTTCTCTAGCTCTTTCTCGACTAACTCCTTGAATGTTTTGAACTTGCTGAATGCATCGCTCTTTTCTTTCAACAAGATGGACCACATGTATCTTGAGAAGTCGTTTATTATCACAAATATATAGCGGTTATTTGCGATGGTAGGTGGAGCAACAGGACCGCACAGGTCTGCATGTAGAAGCTCCAAAGGTTTGGTTGCTCGGAACGTGGCTATCTTGGGGAAGGTTTGTCGAGTTTGTTTGCCCACCAAACATGATTCGCAAAATCTCGTCTCGTTTTCTATTCTTGGCAAACCTTGTACCATCTCTTGTTGAGACATTGTTTTGATGGTCTTGAAGCTTATATGTCCCAACCTTGCATGCCACTTCCATGTTTCGTCTTCAAGTCTGGAGTTGAGGCACATAGGCTTTCCTATCGTTAGCTTTATCTTGTATAGCCTATTGGAGGAGCGAGTCACTTTTACCAGCAGCCTCCCACTCGGATCATGAACGGTTAAGTAGTTCTGCCGCATTCTAACATCACATCCCACTTCCGTAGCTTGTCCTAAACTCAGGATGTTGCTCTTGAGATCCGGAATGTAGTATATGTTGGTGATCAGTTTCTGTTCTCCGGTTTTGCTTTGGAACAAAATTGATCCTTTGCCTTCTATGTTCACGTACGAGTTATCTCCGAACTTGACTTTTCCCTTGATGTTCTTGTTGAGCTCAGAAAAATATGGTAAGTTTCCTGTCATATGATTGCTGGCTCCGTTGTCTAGGTACCACATATACTCTTCTCCTTGCTTGATTTCGTATTTCTTTGGTACCAAGTTTTCTTCATTCAAAAATACAATCTCATGCATATAGAGAGCATGATCCGCTTCCTCTGTCTCTATTTTATTTGCCTCTTGTATCTTCTGAAGTCTTTCTGGGCATACGGAGGCGAAGTGGCCGGCCTTATCACATCTGAAACAGACAATTTTTGATCTGTCCTTCTTTTCCTTTTCTTGACCTTGATCCCGTTGTTCTGTTCTATCTCGTGAATTGAACCTTCCGCGACCTCTTCCCCTTGAGTTACGGCCTCTGCCCCGTCCTCTTGAGCTCTCGCCTCTGTTTGTCTCTGTTTTAGAGAACAACAGATTCTCTTGAGTCTCATCTTGACTTGTTTTGCGACGAATACGCAATTCATATGCCTTGAGCCGTCCTACAATTTCTTCAAAACTGGTCGTGTTTAGGTCTAGGACCTGCTCAAGTGAGGCTATGATCTGAATATACTTGGATTCAGGTAAGATTTGAAGAAACTTCTTCACCATTAATGCTTCGTCGAACGTATCTCCTAGGGTTGCTGCTGTTGCGGCTAACTCTGAAATCTTTCCGGCAATTGTATCAATAGAATCTGAATCCTTCATGGTTATTCGATCAAACTCAGACTTCAATTACTGAAGTCTCGCATCTTTAACTCGGTCTGCACCAAGGTTTCTCGCCTTGATAGCTTCCCATATAGCTTGCGGTGAATCTAGATTACCAACTTGTAATATGAGATTCTCTGGTATGGATGAAAACAATAGGACCGTTGCAGCATCGTTTTTCTTTGCATCTTCTACCCCAGGATCTATTGCTTCCCATACCTCATGATACCGTAGGGTTACCTTCATTCTCATCGCCCATACGGTGTAGTTCGATGCTGTTAACATCGGACAAGGGATCGATGGCATCGTGAGCCCTTTTGACTTTAAAGGAGGTTTAGCATCTCCCATGTCTCAAGCTTCTCTCGTTACCGATCAACCTGGTGTGCTCTGATACCAAATATAGTCGATTAAGATCAAACGTGTATAAAGAACTTGCTCTCTTTATTATCTTGTCTTAGAAATATAGCTCAAAAACTAAGACAACCTTTCTCTCAATCGTTATATCAATACCACATCTCGGTATCGATATATATAGTAGAGATTTCCTATTTCTAATAGTTATAGATAACTCCTAATACTACTAGACTTTATGTTTGTGCTTATCTTGTCCTTTAACCAACTTGTTAAGGATATCTTGAGCTCCAAGTAAACCAAAGCTTACCCAACAAATTTGCAAGGAGAGGGCAAATTAGTTGTTACAAGCTTTTAACTTTGATATTCCAGGAAAATTGATATTCTTTATAGTGTGCCAAATTATAAGCACATCTGCAGTGCTCTGCGTGACTGCGTCACAAGATGGGTTACAAAATAATCACCAACATTGTCATAATGCTTAAAATCATGATACGTCACACCTGAATGTTAAACGCATTATCGATTGCAGATATGTAATTAACAATTATTTAAGTTATAACTCATTACATTCCTGCCAAAAAGCCACACACACACAACCAGTCTACTAAATACCATCTACGAAAGCGGCCAAACAATCTCTTTGTTGAAAGGCAAGCACCCTATCTGAAGTATCATAGCCAACTACATAATCAACCAGCCCTGATGCTCCCAACACATTCTTTTCCTTATCCTCCATGGTCGATCTGACCAAAGCCGTGCAGAAAGAAGAAGGGCTGTCTCGGAGATAAAGACCTTTGTTTGAGATCGTGTAGTTGAACCCTTGGAAATGTAGAGTGAGAATGGGTAATGAATCTATCTCTAAACCAACTTCGGTTGTGAAACACGTTAGTTCGTTCACCTCATATGCTACCGTTGGTCCAATCTGCGTCATTAACTCTTCCTTCACCTTCTGGTAGAGTGATGTCTCTAGACGCGTATAGTACGTGCCAATGTCTATTGCTATTGTACTAGTCTCGTTGCTTCTCATTCTAATCAAATAAAATGTTCGTGAAAACATATATAATGGTCAGTTAGAAAAAAAAGGAAAAGAGGCTCTTGGTTGGCTCAAATGTTAACTTTGCGCCTTTATGTATATATATAAAATATACAAAACACTAATAAAACTTAAAGCTTGTTTTTGTAATATATATATATATATATATATATATATATATTTTTTTTTTTTTTTAAAAAATATACAACTAGTTTGTATTCTCTCCGTTTCAATTTACTTGTCGTTGTAGAGTAAATTTTTCGTTTTAAAATAAGTGTCATTTTATAATTTCAATGCAAAATTTTGCATTGGTTGAAAAGTGGTTAGATTTATAAAACATTGTGTTTTTATCTTAAAAGAATATATAAAATTAAATGTTTTCTTAATCTGTGTGTAAAAACCTAAAACGACAACTAAACGAAGAGAGTAAAAATTTCAATATACACAAACTATAGGTTTAGAAAACTTTCCAAAACCAATGTTTAAACTTCAAACCTAAAATCAGTAAATTTTAATTTTGTGGTATTTTGATCTTGGTTGTAATCTGGAAAACAAAGCAGAAAGTAAGATTTCAAAGATTTGTTTTTCATTGTTTTCTAACATATGTCAAGAGTTATTCTTTCAAAACCAAATAACCTAGATATAAATAGCAACAAGGGTAAATGATATTTGAGTAAGTTAAAATCATGTATATCATTTTACGTAACCATGATATAATAGCCTTACGTTTTTTATTATTTTTTGTTTGATAAACTCCATGCTAGCTATGTTTTAATGAACTAAATCTAACCAAAAAAAAAGTTCATATATACCTCTGTTCCTCAAGACTGATCCCTAAGAGAGGAATGTGATACGAGTTAGAGTTCTTCTCCGTCGTATCTAACATCGGAACCAACATCATATCGCCTCCAAACTCAGCCGCTGATCCTAGACGAATGTAGTTACGCGAGCCGGCAGAGGAAGGCCATAAACAATGCGAAAATCTCGTGACACGGAGCTGAGAAAGAAGCGAGAAATGATGAGTGGTTAGACTCACTCTCCCATCAACTCCACCTCCATCGTCCTCAGGCGTCACACGGTTGCTAGTCCCGCAGCCAAAGACAAACCCACGAACTACAGAGAGAGAGTTCTCTTGGTCGGTTATCGAAGAAGTTAACTGAAGGGTGTCGGAAACGAGGTAGCCAGCGCTGAAAGAAGAGACATCGTAGCGACAGAAGTTGGAAGGAGTGCAAAGAAGAGACAGAGAAGTTGTTTTTGTTGTTGTGTTGTCATGGCTAGTGGTGTTAGGGGAGAGGGGAGGACATAGAGAAGAGTTGGTGCATGAGATTGGTGAGAAAGTGGTCGAGGATTTTCCGTCGTAGCGTCGGGTTGTGTCTGAGAGGGAGCATTGGTGTTCATCATCATCGCAAGGGTCGCATTCTAGGAATGTGAGATGTGTGGAAGAGTCTAGCTTGAGGTTGAAGTTTCGTGTTGGGGTTCCAATGGTGACTTCAACGTAGAGATTGGATTCAAAGGGTAAGAAGAAACCGTTTGGTTGTTCATTTGAGAGATCATCTTCAAGGCTAGAGGTGTGAGTAAGTATAGTGAAGAGAAGGAGAAGGAGAAGGTGTAGAACTGATGAAACCATGTTTTTTTAGGCTACGAAATTTTTTTTGTATAGTTTAGTGCTTCCAAAACTGAGTTATTAGCTGCAGTTTATATATGAGATATGAAATGTTATCTTCGAATTGTAATTACATTTTCTTAGTTAGGCTATCATATGATAATTCTTAATTACTTTTAATTTTTTTTTGTAACTACATACAATTTTTTCGAGCAGTGCGACACACACTGCAGGACCGGACGTACAGCCATACGGGGCACATGCCCCCATTTGATTTTAAGAAATTCTTCAGTAAATAGTATAAAATTTGTGAAATGTACTCAAATGAAATTTTGACATAATGTATGTGCCCCTACCTAAATACCTTCCTACATCTGCCGCTGAATATCGATATATATATGGTTACAAATATTGATTGGCTAGTTTTCCATAACTGTAGCTAATTTTATTAATCTGACTAAAACATGGGACTACTTTCAATTCTAAGAACTGAAACTATACATTGAAAAGTTTATTTGTATTTCAAATTTCAGTTAGCATATTTTAAATCTCTAACCATATACACAAAATGATAATAACGAGATGAAGCAATGACATGATTCATCTCACATTATATATCATAAAATTTTGGTATTTTAAAATAAAGTTTTGCATGACGTATACAATACATACTTTATGTAGATTAGTGTTTTCGTATGTTTGATGACATGATTCATAAACATCGGTCCATGTGGCATGCATGGTTTAAATGATGTGGGTGGTGTTGGTTACTAAACGCATCTTCCGTGACTGGTATGGATTAGGTGACCGTATATGTCAGAAACGGAGCTGAGTTACGTGGCCCATTTACAATCACTAAAACATGGGCTAATAGGCCCATTATACGTGAAAACAAAAAAAGCCCAAAAAGAATCTGCGTAGGGCCCCACAAGAATCTGCGGTATATATTCATTGCTTCGCGGGGGGTTTCTTTTTGGGAAATTGGGCTCTATAGACATAAAAAAACTCATAATATGCCCACTAGCCATTTAACCTAACGGATGTATACACACCGTTATAATTTGTTTTTAATACTCTTTTACCCCTTTCTTTACAACCGGTAAACCTTCTGAATAAAAAACTTTTTTAATTAAACTTGTGGAATGTAAAACTGTAAATCGTGGCTTCTCAGCCTCCACATGATTCACAGCAGTTATCTACTTCGTCGGCTATAGCACAACAGATTTTGCATCAGTTCGCCCCATATCCCGTCGCCTCAGCTTCGTCGTCTTCAGTTTTCCATCTACACCGTCCTCCGCCGTCACTCCGTCGCATCTCAGTTGCTTTTTGCCTCGTCGGTACCAGCTTCTCTCTCATCAGATTTTCCATTGTTTCCGTTTGGTGCTGCTACTCTGTCGCCTCTTCACCAAGTGTATGTCTTCTGCTCTGTTTTTTTATTGTTGCTTTATACTCTGACCTAGGATACTATAATTGTAAAATCCACCACCATATCGACTTTGCATGTCGGTCTGGGGCGGTTATTGTTCAAAACAAGTTCAATTTAAACTTGATTGTGGTTCCTAGTCATAACTGTGTGGAATATCGTCTGATTTTTAAGCTTCGTCTCTATGTATATATAGATAGTATGGGTGGTTCGCTAATCAATTCCATGTGAAGTAGAATTGATTCGACATGAAGTGGAATAGTATTATAAGAGACTTTCCGTGGTTATGTTTG